GATTCTAGCAAAGACATTCTCAAAATCTATATAAAGTATGTATTATTTCATATATTATGCCTACAAATTCTTAACCATTTATTTTAGATAGTAGAATGTGCCTTAAAAGGAAGAAATAGGTTGCTCCATTAGTAGATCCTAAACAAGAATAAAGTTTTCTTTGCATTTTAATTTTCTATATGCTGAAGATTCAACTCAACATTATAGCAACTGGGTGTTGTTTTTATTTATTTTGTAAACTAATCACACCTGCTTAAGTTGTAGTGGGAGTGGTTTACAGAAAACCTTAGAAAAATTAGGATTCTTATCAAGTTTATAGAATGTTTAATAAATTAGTATGTTCCAAAAAACTTCAGTTAAGATCACAATAGCAACCTAGGCCAATTCCATGAAGCATTTGTGTTTACGGCCTCAAATAAATAACGGAGCTGTGAAAGAAAGAGTTGACCATCTACTTCTGCTAATTAACTTCTATTTAGGAAGTAATTTTGGGATTCTACTTGGTAATATAATCAGAATGAGCCCAGTATATTATATAGTGGAGTTTTATCACTATTGTAGATTCTGTATGTAAACTTAACTATACTTGCTAGGGAAAATAAAAGATAATTTATTTAAATAGTAGGTGTGATTTTCCTCTGGATATTTCATTTAATGAGCATATGACACAGAGAGAAGGCGGATGGCAAGTGTGAAAATGCTGTCTCCCCTTTTGGTCTCAGGGCAACATATCTGTGGGGTATCTCATTAAATTTAATATAACACTAATAATTAAAGGTATGGAATTTTATCCATACCATGGCCCCTAAATGCCAAATGTTTATGTTATCCAGAATTTAGGTGAAGAAATAGCAATCTATTCCAAACCAGGAAGAAATTGTATCTGTGTTAAACTTATCTATGTGTTATAAGTTTACGACGATTTAAAAGATTTTCAAGAATAATTCTTCACTCTGATTAATTCCTTACACTTTGATGTTAGAAGCAAACCCTTCTGTAAAATTTAGGGTCATTGAATGGCATTATCAGACACCAGAAAGGACGAAGGGTGAAAAGTTAAAGTGGCTCATACTCACAGTCCGCATCAGCAAACACAATGCAAGGGCTCTTCCCGCCAAGCTCCAGGGTCACCCTCTTCAGATTGCTTTTCCCTGCAGCTTCTTTGATTATTTTGCCAACCTAGAATGAAACATTACAAAGGGAGAAGGCTTAATCTGCCCTCACGAAGACAGGTTTATTTAGTGTTTTAAATTTATATGATGTTTGTGCCATAGTTAAACTTCACAGTTAATTTAAATACAGGAGAAACCCTAACTGACATTTTTCAAGATTTGGCACCTTTAGATATAAAAGGCTCCCTTCTCTAAGCATGCAGACACAGAAGAATCAGAAAAATGTTCATCAGTAAGAGAGCAGAGATACAGAACATGAGAGCTGATCCTGATTGTCTGGCTACACAGGAGGTTATTTTTTATTTTAATCAGAACTTCATCTCTCTGTGGATTGATCCAGACACATCATGACCCAATCACATCTATTCTTACTTTTCGTCCCTCTACTGACACCCAGGGAATTCTACCAGCCAAACTGGCATATTAACCATCTTCTGAATCTCATTTCTCTTCTCATGATATGCCCACCCAACCTGGGCTGTCTCCATGTTCTACCCTTCTTTGGGGTCCAGCTCATATCTTAGCTTCTCCTCGAATCCTTCTGATGATCCAGGTAGAAATGACTCTTCTCCTGTCCTCCCAAAGAACTTCATGAAGACTCTTTCAGAATCTGCCTCAGATTGTATTATTTGTATACACATAAATTCCCGAAACAGATTGTTACCACCTTGGTAGCAGTTGACGATACCCTAACTCTGCATCCCTCTCCTCAGTAGCATCTATCCACAGTGGGCTCATTTAACTGTAGATTGAAAGACTTCTCTCTTTCCTTCCCCATAACATACACAATTTGAACAGTGGAATTAGAAGAAAGAAATTGGATTGGTGCTCTGTGCTCTGTGCTGCTACTTCAGTTAGCTGGAAACCTACTATTCTGGTTTCTTCTTTAATGCTAGTTGCCTCTATTGTTTTCAAATTTTTTTTCTTTATAGATTACTTCCTTTCGAGATTATTTTCTATAGTTATTCTAGTTTTTCTATCTCTAAAACTTGGCTTTTATAATTATTTCTTCTTTATCATTTGTATTGAACCCTAATCCACTAAAATGATCTTTGCTTTTCTTTTTTAAAAATAATTCACTGTATTTTTGCCTCTTCTATGCTCTGGATTTCCTTTCCTACTCCACATGTCAGATTTTAATAAAAAGTTTCTAACCTTGGCCGGGCG